TGTATTGTCAAATGATTTCCAAAAAGCATACCAAGACCATGCAATGGGGAAAGGACCATCTTTTTTAACAGATAGTGTTGGGAAAATTGGACATTCATGTGCAAAAGAATGAAGTTGAATGCTTACCTTATACCATATACAAAAATTAACTCAAAATGGATCAAAAATCTAGACATAAAAGACAAAACCTAAAATTCTTGGAAGAAAACAGAGGAAAAATTTCATTACATTGAATTTGGCAATGATTTCTCGGATATGACACTGAAAGTATAGGCAATTAAAGAAAAATATAGATGAATGGGACTTCATCAAAATTAAAAACTTTTGAGCATCAAAGACCACTATTAAGAAAGCAAAAAGGCAACCTATGGGAGAAAATATTTACAAATCATATATCTAGTAAGGTATTAGTATCCAGATGTATAAAGAACTCCCACAATTCAATATAAAAATGACAATCTTATTTTTAAAACAGGCAAAGAACTCAGACATTTTTCCAAAGAAGATATAGAGACAGCCAATATGCATATGAAAAGATACTCAATATTACTAATTATTACAAAAATGCACATCAAAACCACAATGAGATAGTACTTCACAACCATTAGGGTAGCTATTATCAATCAATCAATAAATAACAAGTGTTAGCAAGGATATGGAGAAATTGGCACATTTGTGTGTGGATATTGGGAATATTAAATGGTGCAGCTGCTGTAGAAGACAGCACGGCAGTTCCTCAAAATAATGAAACATGGAATTACCATATGATTTAGCAATTCCACTTCTGGGTATATACCCAAAGGTATATACCCAAGGGTATTGAAAGTAGGAGCTTGAACAGATATTTGTACACCAATGTTTATAGCAGCTTTATTCACAATAGTCAAAAGGTAAAAACTAATTGTCCATCAATGGAAAAATGAGTAAACAAAATGTGGTATATACAATGAGATATTATTCAGCCTTAAAAAGGAATGGAATTCTGACACATGCTACAACATGGATGAGCCTTGAAATTGTGCTTAGTGAAAGAAGCCAGTCAGAAAAGGACAAGTATATATGAGTGCAATTATATGAGGTACCCAGAATAGTCAAATTCATAGAGACAGAAAATAGAATGGTTGTTGCCAGGGATTGAAGGTAAAGGGCAATGCACAGTTAACGCTTAATGGGTATGGAGTTTCAGCCTGGGAAGATGAAAGAGTTCTGCAGATGAATGGTGGTGATGGTTGCACAACAATGTGAATGGACTCAATGCCACTGAACTGTGCACTAAAAAGTGGTTAAACTAATAAATTTTGTTATGTATATTTTACCAAAATAAAAATATTCAGACCCATAAACAGGGAAAAAATAAATCCATGCCTGGCTTCAGAGACGACTTAACTACCATTTCCCAGGAATACTCTGGTTTCTGTAGAGGTGAAGAAGATATCACAACTTCCCAGAAAACAGAGGAAAGGATAATCGCCTGCCTCCCTCTCTAAATCACAAGAACTTGCTGAGCACTTAGAATACTTGGGCTCAGAAAAAAAGAAAAAAAATCAGACCAAATTAATAGCTTTTCAGATTAAGCAATTAGATAAAGCCAAGAACAAGGACACACCTGTGTCTAGTCTACACAAAGACAACTGTCAATATTGTAAGGGAAGGCACACTGGAAGAACACCTGCTCTGCCTTAGCTACGAACACAGAATCAAAAAAGGAAAAGGACAAACTTTGACAGGCCAACACCTCTCTGTGAACAAAGCTACTCTGGTCTACCCGTAACTACCCTTGACACAAAAGGGAGAGATTTCTCTGCAATTGCAAAAATAGAAAGTCAATACTGCGGACACATTATCTATCATAAACCCTATTTTTCCATCATTCCTTCTTAGGAATAACCAAAATGTCTCTGTAGTAGAAATTTCAAATACCTCTCAAACTCTGCCTTTGTATTTCTCTGCTGTCTCTTGAATTGACACATTTTTCTGTTTAGGAATTTTATACCAGTACGTCAGTTGAGAGGATATCCACTTTGTAAATGAGATGCCAGCATTAAATGTGGACCCAGAAGCCTCTTTCTTTAATTCGCAGGAGAAATCCCCAGTCTATAATTTGATGATAGCACAGACTGATTACCACCCGATGCCTTCATGATCAACATCTCTAATCTCGAATCTGTCTCTAAGAGCCTCCAGGACAAAGACCGTTCAGACGCAGGATTCATAGCAGAGGCTAAACCCTTAAAGGTCTCTATCAATCTAGCTATACACTTCTTGAAATTGGCCCAAAATCTACTAAAAAATAAAAGAAGCTATTGAATAACTGTGGTCCATTGTATGCACATATCTCCAGAAAGGTACCTCAGTCAGCACAATATCTCATTATCCTCCCTACCAGCCCTTGTAATATACTATTCATTCGATCAAAATGATGATTGTGTACCACTTTGTACAAGATTTGAGGGTCATTAAAAAGATC